CGGAACGGTTATTGCGTTGTTTGCTTTAATCGGACTTGTCCCTTTATACTTGATTAATAAGACCGCTATTACTACAAATACGCTGCAGCGTTTTTGTTTACGCTCAGCAAAGAAAATATTTCATTGTGGAGTGAGTGGATCTAAGTGTTGCAATCCCGCGCCAATAGCGAATTTTTTAAGAAACATTGTTTTATTCAGACGTAGTTAAATTGAAGTGATTGAAACAAACAAACGAGCAGTATACCATTCCTAAAGGCTCTTTTCTATTCGATTTAAATTTCAATCTAGTGAACATTCTCAGAAGTAAACTCCACTTTTATATATAAATACGTTTTGCCCTAGCTTTTATCCCAAAAAAAAGCATTGCAAAACAGTAAACATTTTTAAGATCTACTTACAAAAAAAATGGCATTACGGGGCTTTTACTGGAAATCGCGAATACGTGGTCGTCACATAATTGGCAATTATAAACTTTCGCGAAAATAGAAATAATCAAGGCAGGTACTGGGTCGACATAGAAAAAAAGGGAAGTGAAGATGTGAACAACTGAAATTTTTAAGTACGAAAAAGTAGTAATGATCTTGATTTGTCATTCCACCAATCATTGGCTTCGACGCGTCATTGGCACATAGCATCTAATTAGCAAATATATACATATACATAAAATAAAAGATAAACAAATACATGCAAGTAATAATAATACAGGAATACAACAATAATTAATAAATGAGTTTGAATATCGATGATAAATTTTTACTAACAGTCAACCATTAACTTTATAAGACACGAGCTTCAAAACTTTCAGGGAACAAACCTTGATCGATTCAATAAGTGCACGTACATCAAGTTTTTGACAGTAATATGTATCCAGATCATTCTCAAACACTATGAATAATAAACTTGTAAACAAATATAGCTCCTGGGTATGTCTATAGCATGTGCAAAACCAAATTTTGAACTTGGTGTTAATTTTGCTTTTATTTAAAGTGTATATGTATGAAATTTCATTTAAATGCTTTCATAAATAAGAAAGTTTGCAATCCCGTTTGTTGTTGATCGATTAGGCTCAACTTTTTGAATTACGTTTTATATGGCTAACGCTATACGCACATTAAATTTCATACAATTCGGTTCATAACTCACAGAGATGTCAAAAGGGCCTTCTTTATTTTTCGGTTTACATTACCAATTCACGAACTCCGATCTACAAATTTGATAAAGAATCCACCTGCAAAATTTCATCGTATTCGGTCCATTCGTTTATGAGTTATCGTGCTAACGGACGGACGGACGGACGGATGGACGGAAAGACACCGCAACATTATAAATTCTCTAGGACCTGGTTAATAAGCAGGTGATGTGGTCGACGCTATCAAATTCTTTGGAAAAGTCCGTATAGATTGTGTCAATGTGTTCGCGTGCATCAATAACAGGTGCAACAATTTCCAAAAAAGAAGCTAAGTTGGATACAGTTTATAAATCCATGTTGCATTGTTGAAATTTTTGGGGCTAAGTTCATAAGTACATAACACATAATTGTTGGGCAATATTAGTTTTCCGATACAATAATCACACGATCATTTACATAACTGATTCGTTAATGTTTTTCACTTTCGGGGCACCTTTGAGTAGGTGCACAACTACGACACAGAGGGTTGCCATTTTGGGTATGCAAAATTTTGTACGTTTCTAATAAATCGAGTTGGTAGAGCACCCTCCTTTTTATATCCGTGGTTCATGAACAGTTCAAGGGAAAAGTGTAGCACATTTTTCAAACGAATGAGGGTACCGTCAATTGCATCCAGTATGGAGTTATCACTAATAAAAATAAATTCATTTTCAGTGATGAACTTTACCGTCCTGATGGAGGAATAAGAATTTCGGAAAGTTTGACAATTTACCAAAGGGTGTTAGTCTGCGTTGCAACTCCCACACGACTATTTCTGAACTGAATCATCAATTTCCTTCTGTATATTCAGGATATTCAACTTACATTCTTACCAATCACTCGAAAGCGCCTTAGTAGGTACAATGGCACATAGCCCGGTCAATCTACTACCGAAATCGCCAAATAGAAATAAATAAATGTTCTTTGGATCTTCCTCTTGAACATCTCCAAAATCCGCATATGTAGGGGGTGCGCAACATGCCGCCATTTTCAATTTTAGGTCCCTTTTTTCGGTTTTTCCTCAAGTCTCTAAAGCTGTCAACTTTTCCATAACCACAAACCACATATTTACAAAATGAAAGCTCATTAAATTTTTTACAAAAAAAATACAAATTCAAGAAGTCTAGTTTCTCTACCATGACGTCAATAAACACGTTCCGACTTGCATGATTTCAGCACTCGCAGCCGGGAGGTGTCGTTAGCACTGGAACCCTGGACCCTGCCACACCTGACGCTATATTGAACACGATATTTTGCTTATGCAAGACAGGTTTGGGACAAAGGTGTGGCTGTCAAAGACTTATTGTAGGAAATTTATTACGACGATAAAATTTTTTACAATTTGCGATCAAAAGTATCTCTGTCTCCAATAGGTCCCGAGATATAGCCTTTCAAATATTAAATATTTTTTCGAAATATAGACATTAATTGTCCACTAATTGAAATATCGGCATCTGTACTGATTCTGGGGCTTCATTTCTGAAATGTAGGTACTCAGTTGTAAAAAATATATTTACCTTTCATTTATGCATAGAGCTATATAACAAAGATGAGAAAGATCTAAAAATTTGAATTTTCCAAACTTTAGTGCCTTATGATTTACGAAAGAGAAGAAAAGGTATAAAATAAAGCAAAGAACGGTTTTATTTATGTTTAATTCGTAAAAACCAAATCATATACGTAACTAGCTTTTGCCCGTGACCACGTACATGCATAAATATTACCCTCTGTCTGAATTCAGTTTTGGCCGCCTCCGTGGGAAATTCTGGAAGTGTTTTAGATTAGAAGTACACCTTAACATCTTCAAAGAAACTTAAATATTAAACGCCAAGTCTCTATCTCCCGCAGTTTCTGCTGTAAAACGAAAAATCGCGTTTTTTCGCGTTTCCGTGTCCCGTTTTCGAGGGAATTTCGGGAAATGCTTTCGGAGTCTCTATCTTCCGCAACTTCGACAGTAAAACGTAAAATCCCATTTTTTTCCGTTCCCGTACGAATTTCGGGAAATCCTCATAGTGGTCGCCTACGATCCCCAAGGAACTTACATGCCAAATTTTACTTTTCTGCGCGTGGCTGGGCGTTGTATGTCAATAACGGAAGAGTGTTATATACAGAGTGTAGCATCTAAGTCCCTCGGATCATAATTCCTTTACCATACAGATATACCGAAACAAGTTTTAAAGCAAAATTGTACGCAATTACCGTCGCCATGTTTCTAAAACATTTTTGGTAACTAGGGGCGTTCTGTATTCCAGTGGCGTATCAAACTTGCGTTTTTTTTTAAATGGAACAACACCATATATGTTATTTCAGATTTAGAAAGCACTTATTTTTTTATGGAACATGTTGTACCCTTAATTTTAACGATTTGCTTTGACAATTTTTTTTAGAAGGTTTTGAATTGAGGCCTTGGCTAAGACCTCTTCCACTACCACATAATTTTTATTAAGTACTTTTTTTAAAATTCTAAATAGCGCCCCCTCCCCCAAAAAAAACATTTCATTAGAAAACGTGGGTTCAAGTTCAGAAAAGAACGTTTTTCTACTTGCAATGTAGCGTTCCATTTACAAAGACGTTAGTTTGATACGCCCCCGGAATATAGCACGCCCTTGGTCAAAAGTATTTCAGAAACATGGCGACGGTAATTGCTTTAAGACTCTTTTAGATGTTTTTTTTTATAAAGGAATTATTATCCGAGGGTATATTATGTATTTAACACAGCTATTTACATCAAAAGCAGCGGATGCTGCAGAACGATGCCCACTAGAGAACGTTCCGGCATCTCGCTCCCATACAAGCGCTGTACAGAGCAGAACCCTTGAGCCCAGCTTTTTAATGCACTTTCACTTTAAAAAAATAAAAAGTGCACTGTTGCGCTCTTAATGTCTGTCTGTCTGTCTGTATCACAAAGGCTCCGGAAGTACACCACTTACAGACTTGGTAATGGTGTCATATTCGATCAGAAATTAAAAATTATTGCTTGCCATCATGGTTAGAGAGACCAGCTCTAGAATGGAAGTAGTGTAGGTGCCCCCATGGTGGCCATTGCCTTCTGCTTGTTTGTCATAGTTGCAGGTGTGGGGTTGAAACCTACAGATACCAAGTCTTAGTACGATGCAGGTTTCGACATCTTACCTATCCATGAGGGTGCCAAGTTGGGACGAGAGAAAGCATTGCTGAGTGAAGCCTAGGGGTCCACAAGAACACCGCTCTGAGAAAGTGTCTGCTTATCGCTTCAAAAGCGAATCGTGCCATTGCGATAGCATTATGACATGCTCTGTGATAATTGACTGGAACTCTTGGAGCATGAAATCATTTTGAAGGCGTTACGGAAATCGGTCTTCAATGCCGTTGCTGCGCTCCAAATTTTTTTTCAAATTCCGTTATTTTTCTTATCCTACATACATGTCCAAAATTTGAACAAAATCCGTTACCTAGGAAAATTACCAACGTACGTACGTACATACATTACATACAGACGGACAAAATGTTATTCTTTAAAAGTTGCTTATAGTGATCTAAAAACTCGACATTTGAGGAAATTGTAACACAAAACGGTGATCGCAAAGGTCACCTAGCTCGAGCTACGGAGTTAAAAATCGGATGTTCTTTTTTTTCCAATGTTTGCCAACTTTTTTTTTATTTCCACGGTGCAGATATTGCAAAAACTGCGCGGTTTTAGCAATGTGAATTTGTTTAATTCATTTTTGGTATATTTATAACACAAACGAAAGTACATTAATCAGTTATTTTGAATAACTTCTGTATATCACATTTATTGATTATACCAAATTACACTTTAAGTACAATTACAACTTACAATAGATAAAAAATACTCATACAAAGAATATGAAAACAAAAGAAACTACATTGTGTAATACACTGTGTTTGCTATGCCCAACTACAAACTATCCAAAAAAAGTGAGTTCTCCATCAATAGATTTCGACTTTATTCCATATTTTTGTTGTCTCTAAAATTAAGAGTTAGACTCAAGATATATAAAGCTAAAAAAATGTACCTTATGAGGTCTCGAAGAGGCACGACGAGGACATCACGCCCTTCTTCCATATTTTCTATTTGGACGTGGACGCTGAAATAAAAGATTCTGTGTAAATCAAAGGGTTAAAACTAATTGACAGTAATTTATACTTATTGTTGGTATCCACATAATAAATTTTCTGGTAAGGCAATGTTAATCCCAAAATGGCAAAAATGCAGAGCGTGGTTATCAAAATAAAGGGTACTGCAAAGATAAGTAATGCACCGTTGAATGCAAATGGTGGAGAGTCAGCGGGCTTCACACCTACACAAAAAAAGGTATATTAAGCGTAACGAAATTAAAAACAATATCTACCTGTAGGTCGTATATAATCCCTTACGATATGTCCCGCACAAATGGTAACGCCATGGAAGAGAATGGCCAAAAAGAACATTTTTATGCTTGATGAGAAGGAAATTAAGGGTAATATAGATCAATTATCGAGTTTACTTGCTATAAATGCAGACACTGTTCACGTGTGCAATGGGGCGGGTACCAATCATAAACAAAAAATACGCTTCTTCTTTTCTTTCTCATTGATATGATTGAAAACGAAAGGTAAGGAAATAGTTTCAAAGTCCTGGCTTGCGCTAACGCAGTTATCTATTGCAGACTTCCGATTGATTAGATAAGTATTGATAATTTCTTTTACGTTTCTCATATTCGCATTTTTCGAATAGTATTCTAATAAATCCAGAAAATGAAAAATTCAAGATTCAGAATTTTGTACATGCTCTATTTTGCATAAAATTAGGGTGTAATTTGGGTCCTATTAAAGGTTGAATATAAATCGTAGGCGTAGTCAAAATCAGGCAAAAGAGATCTTCATACAATTATGATTGAACTTCACTAAGGTAAGTTCGTTTAATCATTTAAATTTACAATGGAAAATGCCGGCTGTAGAAGTGTTAAAATCCTGCAGCCTTTAAAAAGTGTGATATGTGAGTGAAATTCAAGACCTTTGGTTCTAAATGCGCTAAAAAATTCAGGTTTCAGAAGGCCCATTTTTGAATTCTTAAATTTTTTGTACCCAATGATCTTTCAAAATAATAAATCGTCGAATTTCGAAACTTTGAGATCTTGAAGGCTATGAAAGGTCTACTATGTGCGCTCTCAATGGTCAAACAGCCCAAAATTTTGTAAACTCAAAAGCCATGATTTTTCAAATTTACGATGGAAATAGACGACTTAGGGAGCCGTAAGATCCTAAAGGCTTTAAAAGATCTAAAATGTTTGACGTCAAGATTTTTGGATCAAAAAGTCTGAAATGTACTAGAACAATTATGTTTAAAACAGCGGATGTTCGAAACCAACCAGCAAAGCAGGACTAACCTTTTCTCCATAAACTTCACTACCCCCTTATGACGGTGTATATGTATACAGTGGGGTATGGAATACCCCCCAGACCCCCGGACTTCCACAAATAGTTTTGCTTTCATGATGTTCTGGAAATGGCAATGGAACTATCGTATATCTGTAATATAGTATATACTGCATACTGGGTTGGGAAAGGGGGGGGGGGGTATTTCATACTCCCGAGACCCTCCGGTAACACTACTTCCCCCAAACAGTTTCTCCTTCAGGGCTCGCTTGTCAGTTGAAGGGGAAGAATTATCCCTTTTCTCCGCGTTGCCGGAAACGGGCCACCGAAGGGTCCGGGAACGTAAACCTGACGACCAAATTATGTTAAAAGCGGGCGGTGTTCAAAACTAACCAGCAAAGAAGGACTTGATAACCTTTTCCCCATAAATCTCAGTACCCCCTTATGGTGGAGTTCTGGATATGGAAGTGGAGTAGAACTTCGAGAAATCGAACTTGATCATGACTTGTTAAAGTCGACATAAGTATACAGGCGGGTAGTGAGAAGCCACAGGGATTGACCACTCCTGCCCACTTAGTTAGGTTGGATTCTGAGGGGTTGTGAAATTAGCTTAAAAGTGGGAAAAAAGAAAATAAACAAGTTGTAAATCAGCATATGCATGATGAAAGCGCATTTTTGGTAATGCAGATCAGTATTTCATTAGCAAAGTTTAAAATTATCGATCTCACGAGTAATCTAACTTAAAATAGACTAGAGCCTGCTCATCTACACTATAACATAAAACTTTTAGTGAAAATTTAAAGTCTCTAGCAATTGTAATTGCTGAGATCTCAGCCGGACAGCCAGCCAGCCAGCCACAATAACTGCCTTTTCGGTCAACATTTTTGATTGAAATAACTTTCATTCAAATATATAATGTTACAACATTTGCATAAAACAAAAATAATTTAGCTAATTCATGCACTGTCACCGTTATCAGATCTATAAAATATATATCTTGCATTTTTATCACACATTGATAATAATTTGTTATCAAATTTAACTTCATTCACAAGCTTAAACCTTTAGCAACAATCGGTCGTTAACAAAAGTTCATTTTGTACATGCTCTATTTTGCATAAAATTAGGGTGTAATTTGGGTCCTATTAAAGGTTGAATATAAATCGTAGGCGTAGTCAAAATCAGGCAAAAATGGAAAATGGCGATGAGCTTTCAATTTGGTCAGGTCACAATAATAATTCCAAGCAGAAAAAACCCGATTGTGCTTGGCGTTTGTCAGTTGTTTACCATTTTCACTGTAATTGCGTAATTCTACTGTATGAGAAATTAATTACGCGCGTTAACTTCTATTATTCCACCGAAACGCTTTAGTCATTGACGATGAACAATAATTGTTTAAAAATATTAATAAGGTTGCCAGCTAACAGTGTAATTTTGTAAATATTTGATCCGTAATCAAGTCTTTTTGAATTCATACAAAGGTTTATTGTTCATGTAAATCCCTGAAACACATGAAAAAAGGTTTTGAAATACTTTGCAGTCGAAATAAATAGCCCGGGTTGCGCAAATAATTGAGGGACCTCACCCTAAAAAATTCAATAAAGTCACCTGAATAAAAAAATATTAAAACAAGGTTTTGATGTAATCAGTTGTCTGAGTTAGACCAATTACACTGCAGGGGTAGGTTTTACTCTACCTTATAATGGGGACAAATTACTTTTTGTAAAAAGGGGCGTGATATGGTTTTTCAGTTTCAGGTATTCGAAGAATGTGAATATAAGAAATTGCCAGTACAAATCTAATTATATCGAAAGTATGCAATAGATAACGCCGAAGCGCAAGTAGGACTTTGAAACTTTTCGCTCACCTCTCGTTTTCAATTTATACCAATGTGAAAGAAGGAAAAAGCGCATTTTTTGTTTATGATTGCTGGCCCGCCCCTTTGCACACGTGAACAGTGTCTGCATTTATAGGAAGACAAACCCGGTAATTGATTCATATCATTCTTAATTAGCTTCGGTACGTACTGAGCTGAAAAGATTGTCAAAATGTTGTTGTTGGTTATTTTGCTTCATGGCGTTGCCTTTTGTACAGGAAGTGTTGTCACCGGTCATAACACACCTACAGGTACATATTGCTTTTAATTTCGTTAGATTTAGTTCATATTTTTGTATAGGTATGTGGGGGTACGGCGACTTTCGCCCATTCCTCTTAAGCAGTGAGATCATTTTCTTTGGTATTCCATTTTTTTTAATATGCTCGTTGCTCTACATTTTTACCATGTTGAAGACAAAATGGGTTTACAAGAAAATTGACCCGGAAGCTGCTGTGGACAGCAAGACGTAAGTATAAAATTACCGTCAGTAGCTTTTAAACACAGAAACTGTGGTTTCAGCTCCGACCACAAACTGGAAACCATTGAGGAAGAGCCAGGTATCTACGTTGTGCCTCTTCCAAACCCATAAGGTATACCTTTTTTATGTTGTAATCTCAAATCTAACATTTTTTTAGTAGGCAACAATAAAAATATGGAATAAGCCTGGAACGGCCATTCTTTTGGATAGTTTGTAGTTGGGAATAGATTAGTAAGCACAATGTATTAACCATATTATAGTTTTTGTAGTCATATTTTACTGGGTGAGTGAGTATACTCTATACGTATTATAATTGTTCTCATATGTAACTTATATAATCAATAAATGTAGTTAGTTGGCATCCAATACACCGAAGTTATTCATAATGCCCGACGAATGTGTTAGGTTTCATTTCTTGTTTATATAATGGATTCAAACTGCACAGCTTTTCCGATATATGCGCCTGTCCAATTTTTTTCGGAAAAATGTTAAAGAGTAAAGAAGTAATGTATAGTGACAATACGCTTCATAATATCAAATGCAACGCCATCGATGAATCGATATTATGGTCATTTAAAGCGTTCTCAAGTAATTAATTCAAATAAATGTTTAGATAGAACTCAAAATACAAGGGAATTGAACATGTGTACGATGGAAGCTTTTGCATACAGCTCCCAAACGCCTTCGAGGCCACTACCCTGCATAGTATATCCCATTAGCCCCATTAACGACATCATTTAAAAACCACTTGATCAGATAATAATTTGGGCAAGGTCACTTTGTGGTTCACATACCGCTACTATTTCTACGGCTTTTGCATATACAGGCTGCTTGAAATATAACGAAACATACGTTTTGTGCATTCTTTTTGCGCTGCAAATTTCAAGGCTTCAAGTTAATAAATGACACTGGCTCAGTAGATTTTTTCGTATCTTCAAAATGTCCGTACACTTGACGCATGAAACCGTTCCAGTGAGAACAAGAATTCGACGTAGGGTCGCTTACAGAACCTAGGTTCATTTTAACACTTCCAAGAGTGACAAAAGCTCCGATAACCACTTTCTTCAATCCTGGTTTCGAGGTTTCATATACCATGAAATATGGAAATGTCCACTTGCAGCAATACACCTCCATTACTCTTGAGCCATCGGTTTTTCTAGAGTCATATATGAAATGGAACATTTAACACCACCCATAGCACGAAAAAAACCTTGAAAAAAACATTCTCCTTTCTTTCTGAAACTACAATAAGACCGTAAATAGTTCAGAGTTTCAATCAGCTGTCTAGACCCGTGCTTTCGATGTAGGCAAACCAAGCGCAGTCAAAATTGGAGACACGGAAGACCTTTCCTTTCAGTCTACTCGTTACCAGCTATCCCCTCACCCACACTAACGTAACAAGATCACGCCTGGCTATGTCTTCCAATTTTCTGTGGTATCCCAGTTTGGAGATCGGAAGGTTGCTAGAGCCTTGAGAACTGCCTGACTATCCGATCAGATGTTAATGCGGGCGCCCACAATGACCACGCCTTGAGATACTATAGGAGTGGTTCCTAAGGTCATTAAGAGAACGTAATTCGGACCCCCTTTTTCACTTGGTGCCATCTGTGTACCAGCTCAAATTCTGTATTGTTCTTACAGACTTCCTTGTCCTTGTCGTGGCAGTATTCGGGTGTCATGTGTTCTAAAATCCAGTATATATGCTTCAGGGATGTTTAAGTAAACTCCTAAGTATTTTTCGCTTTTACGCGTTCCTCCCCCCTCACAACAATCTGCTAACTGCTTCCTTCATCACCACCAAATCAAGAGGAGTGAGGCCAAACTAGACCACAATGGCAGCTGTGGGAGTAGCTCAAACTCAAGATAGGCTTAATTACAGTGGTGTATATCTAGAAGTAAAGACAGGGATTTAGTCCCCATCTCCTCTTCATAAGGGTTCAACAACTCATTAAGACCGAGGTAGCCTTGTTGGCCGCTATGGTGATGTGACGCTTCCAAGTTCTTCCTCTCCAGTCCTAGGTATTTTCATTTTTGAGTGTACTCCAGTCGCTGCATGCCCAATCGTAGCTTCCGAAGTATTGTTCGCTTCGTAAAGGGCACTGTTTTTAACTTGTCCGGGTGCACTTTTAGCCCCAGAACGACGCACCATTCCTGCACTGAAACAAGGGAATACGGCATTGGATCACACAAAAGTGGCTTCATGCCTTCACCTCCATTTTTAGTGCATTTCTACAAAAATTTAAATAAAATGCCCTATTGTAGCCACTTTGTCCGCCCGTCCGTCCGTCCATCGGTCCGTCTGTCCGTCCGTCTGTCCGTCCGCCCATCCATTGGGACGCTACTAGTTCTATATCTTAAGAGTTATTGTTCTACTTTTTTCGCTATTTGGTTCGTTATGGTGCCGAGTTTATTGCTAACAAAGTTATTGTAAAAAAACCATAAAACCATTTTTTACAGATTCCATAATTTTACATTTTTTCCGTTTATTAACGATCCTAGCGATCGTTTACAATTTTGTATTGCTATCTGTAGTCTGTCTGTTGGTCTGTCCGTCTGTTCCTTTGTCTGTCTGTCCATCTATCTGTCTGAGTGAACAATAACTATGACATCTCCGATAGTTATGAACTGAATTGCATGAAATTGAATATGGGCATAGCTTTAGCCATATAATACGCAATGCCAAAAGTTTTGTCGAATCGATTCAAAATTCACAGTGCCCTTTTCGCATCTCGACCATTTCTAAACCGAATTGCAAACATTTTTTATTTGTAAAAGTATTTAAATGAAATTTGATACATAGGCACTTGGAATAATCTAAGGCCAGTTTCAAAATTTGGTTTTGCGCATGCGCAGTGCCAACTTTTTTATTTATGGAAGCATTTAAATGAAATTTGATACGTAGCCACTTGGAACAAAGGAAAATCTAACGTTAGTTTCACAATTTAAGTTTGCACATGCGCAGTGCCAACTTTCTTATTTATGAAAGCATTGAAATGAAATTCTCCCTATAAACTGAAATTAAAGTAGGACGTCAAAAATGGATTGCGCCTATGCAACGCTATCTTTCATATTTCCGACATAGCCGACCTGCGCAGCTCAGATGAGCTTACGTTAGAAGTTCTAACTTTGGCTACAAGGGTCCTGGGTTCGAATCCCAGGTAAGGCATGGCTGTTTGTGATTGTATAGTGGGTTGAGTGGGAAGAGTAGCAAATTGCTAACATTCCGCCCACTATAAAATAAAGACAATAAAAAAAATAAAAAAATATTTCTGGCCGGATTCTTACGATTTTAACAGAAGTAGCATCTTACAAATGGGAAATGAATGCAAGTGGAAGTGCGCATTTGGTAAATCGTTTACGATTACTTTTTTACCTTTTTATTTATCTGCCTTTATTTTTGAGTGGGCGGGGTTTCAGCCAAGGCTGCTCTACCAACCCAACCCGCTATACATTTACAAATATTCATGCCCGAACCCGGATTCGAACCAGGGACCCTTAGCACCACACTCCAGTTTCAACTGAACTGCGCCACACGGACCGGCTACGTCATCTGCATACGCTATGCCGTCAAAGCGTAGATCGTCTAGGTTTACCAGTTCGTCCATGACTAACGACCAGAGGAGAGGGGATATTACACCCTCTTGCTGATCACTTCTGCTCGCGGCCACGAGGACTGTTACCGATCCCAATGCTTTTAACAAACGCCTTTTGCACAGGTCGATATCTTTGTCTTTTGCTGCTTCATCAATGGAGTTATTTTTCTTTGTTTCGCATCAATCTGACTGAAAAAGAAATGTCAAGAAATAGTTTCAAAGTTCTACTTGCGCTAATGCCGTTAACTATTGCAGTCTGAAGATGACATTTCACATATTCACATTTATCCAATAGTTTTCAAAAAATACAAGAAAATCGAAAACCATGAGAGTCTAGTATAAGAACCCCCGGGCAAGTTACCGCGGGACAAAACCCCCAAAACTCCCCGCCAAAAACTTCCCGGTGACAATAAGCCTCGGATAAATAACCCACGGGACTTGAACAATAACTCCCCAACAATTCGATACCTATATAACACTACATGAAAATTAAGCAAAATAATCTAAACTATCAAATAACCTAGTATCCAACACTGCTGCCGCTGGGGGTCACGCTCATGTTGAATTCCTTAAGAATGTTTGTATGAGCTTGATTTAGAAAAAAATCCACATGCACATATCTACAAACTCTAGAAAATGCCATAGGGGGCTTTTGGTCGGTGGTTATTGCCTCCCGGGGAGTAATGGAGGAGAGTTTGTGTGCGGGGGGATTTTGTCGGGGGTTATTGTCCTGTACCGCATTCAAGACTATAACCATTTAGAAGATTACTGTACCAAACTAGACCTGAACCGTCAACGTTACTCAAGCCATCCCACACTTGAAATGAACCTGCTCGAAGGGGAGGCGGTTTTAATCGTATGCTCTTTGACCCATGTGAGCTCAAGGTTGTTGCTGCTTAACAATGATAAAGAATTGGCGAGTCCTGTATTAACAGAACTAAATTAAAGACAGAACTGTAGATTCAACTAACAGCACTCTTCTTTTAGGGTAAACATTCAACATTCTCTTTGAATCATAACAACTAAGTGCAAATTGTTACGTATTCAGTTCATTTAATCAGTGGTAAATGAAAATAATTTACCCTGCAGTACGCTTCCACAGTTCTAATTAGGGTTAAATATAAAATATATTGAAACTTTTTGTTTGTACCTTTGGGAGTACTACTGAACATTGCGGCAATTCAGTTGTCGAGTGCGAAAATACAATACAGAGACTTCCTATTCGCTAATTATCGTGCAGATTCCAGCGCGCAATCGATACCACCAGCGAGTGCGAATTCATATTTCTGTCATGCAGAAAGCAAATCATACATACTGGTTACCCGTTTATCGAACAGGCTCCTGCAAAGAAATAAGAGTACTGAAAGTCCATTATCTCTGTGAAAAACTTTATTCGAGTATACTATATACAATGCCGGCTTTTACTGTAAAGCATTAATAAGTAACTTGAATGGCATAAGCCACTAAGTAAAAATGCAAATTCTCAGTAGATAAATGGCATAAAAATAGCCCGGGATAAAACCGGGTAATCTAATTCTGATTGAAACCTATTTAAGCTGTTAACGCTTCCCTATCAAAATGAAATGTTTTAAATTATTTATTAATACGAATTCGGAATTTCCTCGTCGCCATTTGAAAACATAGCTGTTATTTTTTCGACAGATTAAATTATGCAGAACCCTACCCTACCTAATACCGTTAACAATAAGTGATTTCGGTTTAAGAATGGAAAAAAAGGCGACCGACTTTATGAAAAATTGTGGAAATTTGGAT